GGGAAGGAAGGGGAGGGGAGGGAGGGGAGGGAGGGGGCGAAGGCGGGCAGGTGCGCCGTGGCCCGGGAGGGTCGGTCCTTTGTTCCTGCCCCGCAGAGCCCAGGCCTGGGCGCCGCCTTCCGAAGCTGAGTCACGGCTCCCCCGCCAGGCGTGTGGCCACGTGCCCCCGCCCCCCCCCCATCCGGAAGAATGCGCCCCCTCCCCGAAGCCGCCCTGTCTAATGGGATTGCAGGGACCGAGGCCAGGAAGCGGGGCTCCTCTGGTACAAAGCCTGTTACTCACCCCGTGCAGTACATCGCCAAGGTCACCCCTAGCGCCCTCCGCCCCAGCAGCCGCTGGCCCCGAGGAGGCCACCTTCCAGGGGCTCATGATCGCGGCAGATGTGTAGCGATGGTCCAGGGAGGGCCATCCCCGGCTGCTCCACGGCCCACACGGGCCTGGGGAGTGGGGTGTGGCCTGAGTGTGCTGGCTGGGGGTCCTGGGGAGGCCTGTGCGCCGGGGATGGGGGGTAGAGCTGTGGGATCTGCATGTTAGCAAGTGCCCCATGTGTTTTGTAAGCAGGTGGTTTGGTAGACGTCCCTTGGAGAGTCACTGCTTTTGTAGAGGTTCCCGTGAACATACGTGTGAGCCATAGTGGGTGCTGCTCAGTGAATATAAGTTGGGGTTGCCCTCGGAGCCGCAAAGAGCAGTTGGCAGAGGTGGCTGTCCGTCCAGGGACCCCAGGCCCCCGAGCCTGTGTAATGTATGAGCGCGGCCACAACATCACGCAGGAGTTCCTACGTTTGTGGTAGTGTTTGCCTCCTGAGAGCTGCATCAGCGGCCACTGTTTGTTTCCTCTTGATTTTAGGGATGTCATTCCAGTCTATGGATTTGGACATATTGTAGCTTTAGCCTAATCAGCCACCAACGGACATGCACCCCCAGAAGAGTCTGTTATGTCTAGGTAGATGGCGGCTCGAATGGCTTTTTATATAAGCTCTACTTTAAAGGTTGCTAGTTTATCAAAGGAGGATAGAGAAAGAAATTCACTGAAGATTAGGTTTAGGAGCAATTTCCCCCCCTTGCTTGGCAAATGTGATCTTAATCGTGTTCATAGCCCCGAATGGAAAAATAAAAAGGATGAATACATTATATTTTCGACAATTTGTTTGAAGTGTGGACTCATGACTCTGAAGGCAAACGGGCTTGACTCAAATCTCAGCTTTCACACGCACTAGCTGGTAACCTAAGGAAGGTTTCTAAGGTCTTTGGGCCTCAGTTTTCTGATCTAAAAAATGTTGTTGTAACGATTTATGTTATACTTCCTACCACCAGATATTATAAGAAGAGATTTGCTTGTGTTATTCCCACTTGAGGAAACTGAGGCTCAGAGAGACTAAGTACCAAGGTCACCCCATCTCACGCCACACCTGTTCCCCCAGCAGCCCCTGCTCTTGACCACGCCTCTTCATTGCCTCCTCACTCCTGATTGGCTGTCAGATACTAGCCAGGCACGTTCTCATGAGTGCACCCTAATGGCTAACATTTTTTTTTTTTTTGAGGAGTTACTGTGTGCCAGGAACTAGTATAAACATTTTACTTGAATCAATTCATTTAATTCTTACCGTCACCCCATGAGATGGGAATTATTTTCATCTCCCATCTCTCAGGGGAGACAACTGAAACAGAGATATTGAGAAACTTAACCCAGGATCACTCTGCTAGGAAGAGGCAAAGCCAGAACTTAAACACTGCAGTCTGCCAGGCCTGGGTACCAAACTTCCTCCCTGTGCTGCCAGTCACATGCATCCCATAAGAAGGAAAGGGGCTCTCTACTCTCCTGACCCACCAATGCTGGGATGGTGGGATTCTTTCCCCCTATCAGCCCGCCTCTGGGTGCAAAGGCTCCCTTCCATTGGAGACGTTCTGGCTCTTCTGGACCTTTGAAAACTGGTGTTTATATGGGACCAGTTAGAGGGGCTTTGGAAAACTGAGTACAAACACGCATCTGATCCCCTGGTGACCTGCAGGCAGCCGTCAGCAGAGGCCCATCCGGAGTGAGGGACGCACCCTGATGTGGCTCCCCACCCAGTGCCGTCTGAATGCAGGGAGAATGGTTTGCAGGCACAGCTTCCAGGTGCTGACCGGCCTCCCGCATGGCAGCCTGGCACTGTCCCCGCATGTGGGGCCGCTCTTCTTACACTGAGGTTCGGTGCATGCTAGAAATACAGGTGTTAAAGGGGATTCAGATGTAAATGCCAAGCATGTTATTGGAAACTACAGAAAAGGCGATCCTTGTGGAAAATAGCAAAGAACCTGGCTGAACTGTGTTCTAGTATTTTGTGGAAGGTACAGTTTTTGAGCCATGAAATTGGATATTTAGCTGAGGAGATTTCTAAGCAAAGTATTGAAGGAGCAGCCTGGTTTCTCCGGAATCCTTAGAGTGAAATGCAAAAGGAAGAGATGAATGGAAGAAAGACCTGTTAAGCAAAAAGGAACCAGAACTTGGAGAAGTCTGCCATATTGCAAAAAATAAAAAAAGAGAAAGTTTGTTCTGATAGAACATAAGGGTGTGGCTGAACACCCATTTCATACAGAGATCTTGGGTGTGACCAGAGATCCAATCAGTCCTCTCAGTGGAAGCCAGGAATAGAGAAGGGCTCATACCAGCAAAGGTGCTGCCAGGAGGAACTGAAGGAGACGAGAGAGAGGACAGAATGAAGGAAGCCTGTTGGACTTCTGAGGTGCTACAGGGCCAGCCCAAAGAGCCATTCCTTAGGAAATGAACACTGTTCTTCAAGGAAAGGGAAGAAGGACCCTGAAGGCTGTTCAGAGATGATCAGGCCACCCCCTCGGTAGCCTTGAGGGAGCCCCCCACCCCCACTTGGAAGAGCTTCAGAGGTGGGACCACTGCCCCCGTGGGTCTGGAAGGCAGAGCCCTGAACCGAAGAGGATTAGTCTGAGCCTGGTGACCTGGTGGGATTTGCCTTGCTAACTTTTGGACTTTCTTCGGACCCATCACCCCTTCCTTCTTTCCCGTTTCTCCCTTTGGACCAGAAATGCCTGCCCTGTGCCTGTCCCACCATGTGTTTTGGAAGCATGTGCTTACCTGGTTCCACAGGTTCACAGCAGGACAGGAATTTGCCTCAGGAGGAGTTATAGCTCCAGTTTCACCATCCCCGAGTTAGATGATGTTTAGATGAGGCTGGACTTTGGAGCTGATGCTGGAATGAGTTAAGGCTGTTGGGATGGAATGAATATGTTTTGCATGGGAGAAGGACATGAATTTGGGAGGCAGGATGGAATGCTATGGACTGAATTGGGTCCCTCAAAATTCACACCTTGACGCTCTAAACCAGTGGTTCTCAACCTTCTGGCCCTTTAAATACAGTTCCTCATGTTGTGACCCAACCATAAAATTATTTTCGTTGCTACTTCATAACTGTCATGTTGCTACTGTTATGAATCGTCATGTAAATATCTGATATGCAGGATGGTCTTAGGCGACCCCTGTGAAAGGGTCGTTCGACCGCCAAAGGGGTCGCAACCCACAGGTTGAGAACCACTGCTCTAAACCATGATGCGATTTTATTTGGAGGTGTATTTAGGGTTAGATGGGATTAGTGTCCTTATAAGAGACCACAGAGTGCCCGCCCTCCCTCCCTCCCTCCCTTCCCCCTGTGAGGACATAGCAAGAATGTGGCCATCTGCAAGCCAGGAAGAGGGTTCTCACCAGACACCAATCCTGCCGGCATCTTGATATTGGGCTTCCTGCCCCCGGAACTGTAAGAAAATAAATTCCTGTTGTTTAAGCCACGCAGTCTGAGGCATTTTGTTATGGCAGCCTGAACTCACTGAGACAATTCGTAAAGGCCTGTTTTGAACATTTTAAAACCCTGGACTTGCCCTAGCTGGTTTGGCTCAGTGGATAGAGCATCGGCCTTCGGACTGAAGGGTCACGGGTTCGATTCCAGTCAAGGGCACATGCCCGGGTTGCGCACTGGATCCCCAGTGGGGGGCACCAGGAGGCAGCTGGTCAATGATTCTCTCATCATTGATGTTTCTGTCTCTCCCTCTCCCTTCCTCTCTGAAATCAGTAAGAATATATTAAACAAACCAACCCTGGACTTCCTGAGGCAGCACGGATTTGGGGAGAAGTCCTGCAGGAAGAGCTGGGTTGGGGGCAGGAGGAACAGAAGAAAAGCACAAGGATTACTATTTCAAGGCAGAGGCAGGGGTTGACGTAGCTCCTAGCGCTCCAGGCACCATGCTGGGCTCCACCCTCAGTAACTGCCTTTGGCCCACAAATACCTGGGGAAGCTGGTGTTTCTGGCTGCCTGCTGGCCAGCTGGCCCTCCAGGGAGCCCTAATCCTTGCGTCTCAGACCTCCCTCCACAGACAGAGAAGGAGGACCATTGTCCCCTGTAAGGAAGCCCCAGCCCTCAGGAGCTGGGGGGACACGCGCAGCCCAGAGCAGACTGTTTCTTTGCGCTTAATCTCCATCCCCAGATTTGGCCAAACGAGGAGAAGGAACCGCCAGTGCCAGACCCAGCTGCCCCTCAAAGCTTCTCCCTCCGATTCCCACGGTCCCTCCAGCCTCTGGGCCGCGCTGCCAGGGAGAGGGGGAACTGATCCGAGTTTCACTTCCCCTGGAGGAGATGTGAAGAAAGAGAAAACGGACCCAGATTTGGGCAGTAGCCAGGGAAAGAGAAAGGGAGTAACCATGAAGCCTGTGACAGGTGCCAGTCACTTGACCCACAGGCCACCGCCACTCCTACCACACCCAAGGGCACCCAGCTAGAAAGGGCCAGGGCTGGTCGGGAGGGAGCCCCAGTCCACCCCAATGAGAACCAAGGACCTGGACAACTCCTGGGCATCAGCATCCACGGCGGGCGCCGGCCACCAAGACAGCGGCCCTCCTCCCGGCTGCCCTTGCCCTTGGCCAGCAGCGTTAGCATGACCGCTGCTGCCCGGGCCCGGCCTCAGTTCCTCATTTCATGGTCTGGGATTTGGCCTGGGCATTGGGCTCTTAAAGATTCCCAGTAATTCTAACATGCAGCCAAGGACTGAGCCCCACTGCCCTTGGGGACCTGCATTCTTCTCTCTGTAAAATGGGGTGGATGGTACCTCCCAGACAGCGTGTGGTGAGAGGGCCTAGGAAGGGATGTCCGGAGAGGGCAGGGAATGGCTCCTCGAGGACTAGGGGGTGGGCTGGGCCAGGTGTTCTGCTAAGTGCTAAGCTCTTCTGCAAGGCGGCTGGGCAGACTCCCCTAGGGGGGTGGGACCACACCCTGGACCCCACTCTTGTTTGCATCTGCCCAGCTCCTTACAGCTTATAGAACCCTTCATTCCAGAAAACCAAGGCTGGCACTCCATGGCCCTCAACAAATGTCTGTGAAATAAACAAATGGGTGAAGTCCTTTGACCTTCACAACAGCTCTGAGAAGTAGCCGGAAAGATATCCCCACCACCCCTGATCCTGTAGGAAGAGTAGGGAATTGAGAGTCAAGTCAAGGTTCTGTCACCAGCTGTGTGTCTCAGAGACACCGTTAAGGGAACTTGTCAAAGCCTTTGTTTCTTCATCTGTCAGATAGACTTTCTAACCATTCCTTATAGGGCTGTTCTGAGACGCTGCTGAGACAACACATGGGAGAAACATTTATATAAACAATTATTTGATGAGGGAATTGAGGTTCAGAGAGGTTAAGTGATTTGCCCACAGTCGCACCGCTAGTACTTTGTGAAGTCATAACTTGAACCCAGGACCAAAGTACTTTCAGGCTTCCCCATACCCCACATAGAAACACAGGCTTGCATAGACTTTAAAAAAAAAAAAAAAAAAGGCAAACAAACACCCAAAAAAGTACCTGGCTGTAGAGAGAGATCCAGCTCTTTGGAGGAGAGGCCCTGGGGCTTTATTGGGCCCAGGGCTCTCCTGAGGGCGAGCGTGTTGCAGTGAAATTTGCAGGAAGGAAGAACTGGGCCTTGAGTGGAGATTTTTTATTTTAATAAGAGGACTAGCCTGGGAGAAAATGCAGAGAAGTGAATAAGCAAAGGATGTTGTTTGTCCATGACAGAGAAGCTGGGAGGAAAGCAAGGGGAAGAATTGGCAGTCGTGTGGGAGGAGCCATTGCCATCTCCAGAGGGTCCTATAGCCAAGGAGGGGGCTCCACACAGCTCTGAGCGCGGCCTCCGGCTCCCAGGACCTGCGGAGGAGGAGGGAGGAGGAGGGCCATGGCAGGTCCTCACACCCAGCCTGCGCCTGGGGGCTGCTTGCCGGGCGTTAGCTCCTCCGAGCAAGCTGCTGGCCTGAAGTCACACTAGACAAGGAAGGAGCCAGGCATTGCTGACAGAGCCATTCTCCTCCCCACTGTATAGGTGAGGCTCAGCAACGTTAGGTCATGGGCTATGTAACAGGGTCCCTCCTTCCCAACAGACCCTGGTCGTTCCTCGGATGCGAGGCTGTGCACCTCCATTTACAGAATCCACGCGTCTGCTCTCCCCTGGACGCCCCAGTGAACTCGGGACAGGTTCCATGTGGGGCTGCCCTGCAGGCAGGCGGGCATTACCTAATTGCTGGCCAGCCTCTTTTGTCACCATTTTTCCAAGCTGCCTGGCTCTGAGAGCCTCCATCTCAGACAGACAAATGAGGCTGCCGCCTTGTTCTCCCCGGGCTCCTGCAAAGGAGGAGATCAGACGGAGGCTGTCTCCTTGATGGAGCCGCAGCCAGGAGCCGGCACAAAGCGCCGGGAGCAGCGGATGTCTTCAGCGGGCGACGACAAAGCCCAGGCCAGTGCCCTACTTGCGGCAATGGCTTTCCTGATTGGGCTCTGCCTTCTGCTGTGAGGTCCTGGGGTCAGAATTCTGAGCCTGGGACTCAATCTTCATCAGCCGGCTCCCCCGGGGAGATGAACCCTTGTTAGAGCCAGCCCCAGCCTCCTAAACACCTCTCCGACCTCCGCCAGGCAGACACTTCTGTGTGCAGAGGAGAAGCAAGTCATCAGAGAAATGCACTCCGCTGCTGCTGCACGACCTCAAACAGGCCTGCGTGCCTGGGGGCTGGAGCGACACCCAAAGGCAGGGCTGGTGCAGGTGCCCAGCTCCAAAGCGGCATTCTTGCCCTCAGCTCCAGCCATTGAACCAACCCTGAAATTGCCTACCTCTGGACCTTTTGTGAGATCGTGCCAACTCCAAGCCAATTTTAGTCAGTTATGCTATGACCTGCAGCCAGAAGTACCATGACTGACCCAGCTCCTGAACCTACGCTGTCCTCAGTGTCACACTGCTCCGCTGATCCTTCACCACCTCCCTTTCTCCCCACAAGGCTCACTCTTCTCACTCCCACCCTCTCCCATCATGTCGATGACATCCAAGGTGCTGATGACTCACAAATCTGAACCTCGTACTTTCTCTCGACTTCAGACTCGCAAGTCCAGCTGCCCACTAACACATGGCCTCTGACCTGTTTCTTTTCCTGGCTCTAATTTCTCTGCTCCCTCTTTTTAAAAAAAAGTTTTTATTGATTTTTAGAGAGAGAGGAAGGGAGAAGAAGAGAGACAGAAACATTGATCAGCTGCCTCCTGCATGCCCCCTATTGGGGATTGAGCCTGCAACCTGGGCATGTGCCCTGACTGGGAATCAAACCGGGGACCTCTTGGTTCATGGGTTGACACTCAACCACTGAGCCACGCCAGCCGGGCATCTCTGCCCCTTCTTAATGTTGGCTTTCCCACAGTACACTCCTGGGCCCTTTTCTAGCTATACTTGCCCTTGGTTACCTCATGCCTTCAAGTAACTTTACACGACATTTTTTGTTGAAAACAGAGTTTATATCTAGAGCCCAGAGCTCTCCACCGGTTTTGAAAAGGCAGCTATCAGTTCACCGTCTGTGCTTGGAATGTTCCACGGAACTGCCCTACCTGGTGCATCCACCTTCCTTAGACACTGCCCCTGCTTGTGTACTCCAGCTCCGCAACACCCACCACAGCCCTCCAGACTGGAAGCAGGAATTACAGAAGCACCTCCTTTCCTGATCTTCATATGCCAGGAGCCACTGAGCCCTTGATTTTACCTCCAAAGTACATTTCTACTCTGCCCCTCCTCTCCACCGCCTTCGCCTTCGTTCTGGCTGCCAGCAGTGCTGCAGTCACCTGCCACCTGACTGAGCACCTCCGCCCTCGCTTCCCTCCAAGCCACGCTCTGCCCTGCAAGCACAGCCAGATGCCTAAAATGCAGGTCTTACCTCACCTTTCTGCTCACAGTTCCTCCTTAACTCACCATGCCCTCCCAGCAGTGGGTTTCAAGCTGCTTTTAGCAGAAGGCCTCCAATATGCACATAGAAAATTAAAGTGGAATTGGAACAGCTGAAGTTAGGGAGGGACATCTAGAGACCCTCCCAGTTACTCAGCCTTCCCCGGCCTTCCCGCAGTAGACACACACACACACACACACACACACTCCTGCATTCGGTTTGTTCAGACTATAGATACTACCTTGTCTGCCCTACCTTGATGGCCAGGAAGCACCTCTTCACATCTCCAGCCACATCCAGAATCTATTGGAGACTCTGGATCATATTTTGAAAGTCAGAAATCCTTTCAGTCGTTTTGTGGCTGCATGCAATTTATAACCTGGCACTAGCAAGGCTTACCTACCTCTGTAGGACTTGGGGGCTCTGGATCCAATTTGTACTCGGGTGTAAACAGAACAGGGAATGTTGCTTGGCGCCCGTGACATCACCGCCACAGTGCTGGCTCAGCCAACAGTTGCTGGGATGTACTTAGCCTGTTGGGGCTGAACTGCGGGGCCGTCCGAGCAGACTGGTTTGAACAATAGAAACAATACCTCTCTTCAGGTTCCTGCTCACCATAGAGGCTCAGGCCGCCCTGCGCCTGCCCCCGGAAGGGATGCATTGTCACTGAACGGGGCAATGCAAGCTCTGGAACCTGGACAGCTCCAGGCTCAAGCCCCAGCCGTGCCCCTTAAGAGGCGTGTGGCTGGGGCTAGAAAACCACTCCAAGCGTCAGTGTCCTCATCTATGGAATGGCTGGTCATTAGGATAAGGGCAGGCTCCAGTCAGCAACCTGGTAGACACCAGGGGGAAGCGGCTTCTGGGAAGAAGAGGAGCTGTAAGAAGGGGCGAGGTCTGGGTCTCCCCCAGTGCTTGGGGGGCCCTGCAGTTTCCTTGCTCCTGCACATCTGCACCTGGATCCTGTCCACCGTTATCACCTGCTGCAGGAGGAGGCAGCCTGGGCACAGCACCCCGCCAGAGAGGAAGTGAGAGCGGCTTTTTAAAGCCGAACTGTGGCGCGGGTGCAAGATGTCAGCAAGAGTGACCGGGCAGCCCGTGCACACGCGTCTGTGGTTCATGCTGAGGCCCGAGGTGCCTACTCCTGTGGCTTGTTCGTGCCCACCACACCCAGTGCTGTGGCTCCGTGAGTCACTGGGGCTGCGAAGGAGCTGGGGGATTGTGGTGAGGGCAGGGCTGGTGCTAAACAACATAACGCCTGGGAAACGCGTTTGGAACAGTAGATCACGAAAACTACATCCCTGTGGTCACTGGGGACAGAAAGACCCGGGAGGCTTTTCCTGGGGAGACCCGGGGGGGGGGGGGGGCTGCTGGCGTGCCTCTGCAGAATCCATTAGATGAGCCCTGTGATAATCCCCAGCCTCCTCCACTTGGAAGGTTAGGTTGAAAAGAACAACATGAACAGTTTCTCAGAGCATCTCAGGTGGTTCCAAGATGGCTGGTGTTGGTGAGGAAGGCCCGGGGGTTGGGGGGAGGAGAGAGGCTGTCTGTGCAGATCTGCTGCCTGCCTCCCTCCCTCCCTCCCTCCCTGCACCAGCCTCCTTCCCTCAAGGCCCGGGGCTGCCTTTCGCCCTGACCTTGGCCTAGCACTGCCTCCCAGGACTGCTCCGAGGGTCCCTCCTGCACACTTTCTGATGGACACAACCCACCCCCAGCCGGGCAAACTAGCACACCCCTGGGCCCAAGAGGAAAAGGAGCAACAAGCCTCCGTGTTTTTTTTTAACTGGGTCAAGAGAAAAACAGAATTCTAAAAAATGCAAGTCATGGTTAGAACTCCTGTCATTTTCGGGGCGCTGCTATGCTCTGCGCCTGGCTCATGTGAGAGCTGGTGCTGCGGCAAGGGGGTGGCAAGCAGTCACAGCAGGACGCCCACCGTCCTGTTCTCCCCGGGGTGGTTGGTGCGCGGGGCCTGGTGGCCGCGTGGGCATTACCTCGCCTGGCCCGCTGGGTCCCGAGAGGGAGGGGTTAGCAGGGCCCTTGACGAACGAAGAGGCCGAAGTCAGAGAACTGTGACAGAGGTGGCACGGGGGAGGCCCGCACCGGCTCTGCCCGGGCCACCTGGTGGACAGCCCCGGGGTGTCTCCTGGGTGGCTGGGGAGCAGCCCGGCACCACGCGTCCCACTGGCCTCTTTTGTCTCTCCTCCCTGCCCTCCGCAGGCTCACAACGCGGGCTCGGGCGGCCCCAAGCCCACAGATCTGGGGAGGTCACTCAATGCTGGCCACCCACAGAGTTGCTCCCCATCCAGGCTGCCTGGCTGCCCTGGGCTCTGTGCTCATGAGAACTCCAGGGCCTTCGAGGTGGACCGGAAGTCCCCGGGCCCGGGAGGGAAGGCTGTGGAGTCTCTGGGACCCCTCCATGCACCTGACGGCCAGATGCAGCCTCGCCCTCAGAGGACCTTCAGGGAGAACTCCCTGTCCTGCCTGGCTTTCTGACCTGCTCGCCCATCAGCCTTCCCACGGCCCCACGAGCAAGTGCAACCCCGCCCGGTGGGAAAGGGAGGCCAGCGTGGGGCAGCGGCGGTACCAGAAGCACATCCAAAACCCAGCGCGAGCCCAGTCCTGGCCGTGAACGGTACTCCTGTTTCATTCCGCTCCCATTCTGAGCCCTTGGGCTGAGTTGGGGGCTGGGGCTGCCAAATGACACAGTCCCGGAGCTCCTGGGCCAGGGCTGAGTGGGGTAAACAAATCCTTACAGCCGTCCTGCCATTCGAGGAGGGTGGTACCAGAAGCACATCCAAAACCCAGCACGAGCCCAGGGGCAGACATGAACTTTGGAGAGAGAGGTGCCAAGTCAGGGGAGTCCCAAAAGATCTTTTTCAGCAGAACGTGACCTCTGAGCACTCAAGCCAAGTTCCACCTCCTCCCTGCAGCTTCACCTGGCCACTCCCACTCTCCCTGGTCTGCCCTGCTCAGGATGCCCCTTTCCCTCTCTCTCTGATGATAACGGTAGAGAAAATAATCAAAATCCGTCTAGGAAAGGCCAATCTGGGAGGCAGAAAACGGTATAAAGAAAATGGATGTTGATGCTGAAGTCGCAGCTGGCAAGATTTTCTTGGGTGAAGAGAAAGGCCTTCATCACAACGAGGAATAAGTTAGGAAGGAAAATCTGGACTCCCTTTCCCTTCCGAGAAGCAGAAGTGATGATTTCTCTGAGGCCTGCCTGCAGGAAGGGAAGCAGCCTCGGGCCAGAGAGAAAAGGCTCTGTTACAGTGTGTGTCCCCGTGACGTTCCTCGGTGCCAGCCATCGCCGCTGCTTCTACACATGTCCACGGACCACGAGTCTCCTGGGCCAGGGCCTCAAGGTGATTCGCGTCAAAAGCAGGGCAAGTTTATCGGTTTGAGAAAAAAAGAAACCAACACTGGAGACTCCTTTCCTCCTTAAAATTATGGGAAATAAAATCTTTACAAAATAAAATCTCCCCCTCCCCAAACACCACCATGGAGGAGAAAACCAGGAGAAATTGAGAAAAATACAAAAGAGACCAAGGAAATTGGTTTCTTCTCCAAGCTCACGGCCCTCCCCAATGTAAGAGCTCTGTGACTGGGCTCAGCTGGACTCAGGTACCTAACGGGTTATCGATCAGCTTTTGTGGTTGCCCCAAAGCTCTTCTTCTTCTGGGTCTAAGGCCGGAGCACGGCCTTCCTAGACGGGGCTGTGGGACTGAGGCCATGGGGTCTGGAAGCCAGGGAGGCTGAGACAGTGGGGAGGGAGGGAATATACCTGCGCCTCCCAGGCCTGCCTCAGGAAGAGCCTGAGGGGAGAGGGGTGGCTGCAGTCCTTTCTCCATCAAACATAAGGGAACATCTCACCACAAACCGTGTGACCTCCACGGAACCCCACTGTGCCTTTGTGTCTTGCTGGCAGTTAGGGAAATGATGGAAAAATAAAATCTGTTTAAAAGAAAACGAAAGCCCTATTCCTGGGGTGAGGGGGGATTTACTCTGCCCCTCAGACCTTTACTGGGGGCTCCGTCATCTGGGAGGAGCCAAAGCTGCCAAGCCTGTGTGCTGGGGAGGGTGTGGGCTCCCCGCCTCGTGAGTGGGCCCTAATCCAATTTAACGAATATCCTTATAAGAAAAGGCAGAGACACCAGGAACAGGCGTACTCAGAGGAAAGGCCACGTGAGGACACAGGGAGGAGGTGGCCGCCTGCAAGCCAAGGAGCGAGGCCTCGGGAGAAACCAAACCAACCAACACCTTGATCCGGCACTTTCAGCCTCCAGAGCTCTGAGAAAGTAGATTTCTGTT